TGCCCAAACAGTTGGTGTATGTGCCCCATTTGTCAGATGCCAGCCTTCCCTGGCCGGCAGGATTTCAGGCTGGGTTAAGAGCACTCCAGCCTGCCCCATGGCCACAAAGAGGGTGAGGGTAGGGGTGCTCTGTGGCTGGGCATCTGGCCGGGTGCCTGCAGAACCAGGCAAGAACTGCCCACGAAGGCTGCTGGGAACTCGCTATCTTTCCATTTAAACAGACACTGGCTGTCTGTTGAGTTTCTGGAAACATCTGACCTTTTGCAGAGCATCTCAGAAGTTGTCAGGGAGGGCTGGAGGGAGCCTTCTCACTTTCTGTAAACGGTTTAACCCTTTCTACAAAACCCTTCACAAGAAAAAGAAGAGGGCAGTTTCCAGGGAACTGGAAAGGTTTGTTTGTCCTATTTTGTTGGCTGGGGAGGTAGAACATTCCTGGGGGCAGGGAGGAGACTTTGAGCCCAGAGACCTCCTGGGTCATTTTTTCTGATCTCCTGTTTCTGGGACTGGAGGCTGTCAGGGGAGTGAGGGGCAGGGGATGGGTGAGATAGAGGTCCTGGAGGGAGGGGAGGAGCTGAAAGGAGGCAGCTCCCTTTGCCCAGAGCAGAGGCTCTACTGAGGACAAGGGTTTGGGCCACCAGACCAGGACGGCTTCTCTGACAGAGTAAGCAGTGGACTTTATCCTGCAAATGTTTTGTTATATATATATATTTTTAAGAGAGCAGTGTAGAGAGGTGGCCAGAGAAAGGAGGGCAGCCTGGGTGGTGCTGAGGGCCCATCTGAGGCTGATGACCTGGATTTCCAGTGGAACCCTTCACCCTAAGTGACTCTCTCTAGCCACTGTTGAGGAAGAGGTGCTAAGAAAGTGGGTCACAAAGCTCATCTAGAGCTTTCTTTCTTTCTTTTTTTTTTTTTTAGATGGAGTCACACTCTGTCGCCCAGACTGGAGTACAGTAGTGTGATCTCCGCTCACTGCAACCTCCACCTCCTGGGTTCAAGTGATTGTTCTGCCTCAGCCTCCCTAGTAGCTGGGACTACAGGCTCACGCCACCAACCCCAGCTAACATCTGGAACTTTCCCACACAGCAAAAATGACTGCAAGGAGCGTTAGGGAATTCAGGCCATAGGTTGTTGGAATGGTCTCTAAGTGGGTGAGAAGGGAGTGGGCAGGGAGAACAGCTGGCAGATTGGGAGAAGGTGGAACATCAGCTACCTGGAGAGGCTGCTGAAGTCCAGGGATGGTCTGAGGGATTGTGTCAAACCAGAAAGTTGGAAGAAAAAGAGGTGGGACTTAAAGGGCGGGACGCCTGAATTTGCCGATGAAGCCATTACCACTGGTAAAATGGGAATGCAGTTGAAGTGGGGTCAGGGAGGTCATCCAGGATGTAAGAAAGCAGACGCGGCTGGGCACAGTGGCTCACGCCTGTAATCCCTGCACTTTGGGGGCGGGTGGCCTAAGGTCAGGAGATTGACACCAGCCTGACCAACATGGTGAAACCCTGTCTCTACTAAAAATATAAAAATTAGCTGGGCATGGTGGCAGGCCTGTGTAATCCCAGCTACTTGGGAGGCTGAGGCAAGAGAATCACTTGAACCCTGGAGGTGGAGGTTGCGGTGAGCTGAGATCACGTCGCTGCACTCCAGCCTGGGTGACAGAATGAGACTCCGTGTCAAAAAAAAAAAAAAGAAAGTAGATGCAGGACTTGTCACCAAAGACAATGACTGGAGCTCTAGGTGGAGAACTGGGAGCCACATGCCCTCTAGTGACAGGGATGTAGCCAGAGGTGGGTGGACAGCCTCAGCGTTTTCTTCTGTTTTCTTCTAGCAGTTTGTGATAACCTCAGGGCCTTTATCAGAGGATGGAGGAAGATTATTCAAGAGGAGTGTAGGGATGCCTCAGGTCCTGGGGAAGGAGAGGAAGACAGGAGTGAGATGCAGGATGGAGCAGAAGCAAGGAAAGACAGGCAGTCTGGGAGAGAAAGAAGTCAGAGTCAGTGAGGCCAGGCGTGGTGGCTCCTGCCTGTAATCCCAGCACTTTGGGTGGATTACCTGAGGTCAGGAATTCCAGACCAGCCATGGCCAAGGTGGTGAAACCTCATCTCTACTAAAAATACAACAAGCTGGGCGCAATGGCTCATGCCTGTAATCCCAGCACTTTGGGAGGCCGAGGCAGGTGGATCACGAGGTCAAGAGATCGAGACCATCCTGGTCAACATGGTGAAACCCCGTCTCTACTAAAAATACAAAAATTAGCTGGGCATGGTGGCACGTGCTTGTAATCCCAGCTACTCAGGAGGCTGAGGCAGGAGAATTGCCTGAACCCAGGAGGCGGAGGTTGCGGTGAGCTGAGATCGAGCCAGGCACTCCAGCCTGGGTAACAAGAGCAAAACTCCGTCTCAAAAAAATAATAATAATAAATTAATTTTAAAAAATACAACAATTAGTCCAGGCATAGTGGCTCATGCCTATAATCCAAGCACTTTGGAGGCCAAGGCAGGTGGATCACCCGAGGTCGGGAATTCAAAACCAGCCTGACCAACATGGTGAAACCCCATCTTAAAAAAAAAAAAAAAAAAAATACAACAATTAACCAGGTGTGGTGGCGGGCGCCTGCAATCCCAGCTACTCAGGAGGCTGAGGCAGCAGAATCGCTTGAACCTGGGAGACAGGGGTTGCAGTGAGCCAAGATCTCACCATTGCACTCCAGCTTGGGTGACAGAGTGAAACTCCCTCTCAAATAAACAAACAAACAAACAAATAAATAAATAAATAAATAAATAAATAAATAAAAGGCCGTGCATGGTGGCTCATGCCTAGACTCACAGCACTTTGGGATGCTAAGGCCGGCAGATCACCTGAGGTCGGGAGTTCGAGACTAGCCTGACCAACATAGAGAAACCCCCGTCTCTACTAAAAATACAAAATTCGCCAGGTGTGGTGGTACGTGCCTGTAATCCCAGCTACTTGGAAGGCTGAGACAGGAGAATTGCTTGAACGCAGGAGGCAGAGGTTGCCGTGAACTGAGAAGCCTGGGCAAGGAGAGGGAAACTCCATCTCAAAACAAATAAAAAAACAAAGTGTGCTTGCTTTACCTACGAGCAGCAGTGACAATCTCCTAGTAATGTGGGAATTGATTAGATATGCCAATTTTTAGGTCCCATTCCAGACCTACCAAGTCAGCTGGGTGGGGCCCCACAATCTGTTAATTTAACCAGCTTTCTGGTGATTTTGATACATACCTGTTTGAGAATCACTGAAACATGGCATTGGGAAAAGTGGTTCATTTTATGGAAAAAATAACATTGAGTTATTTTTATCATCACATGGAAAAGACTTCATATGGAATACAGACTTACATACAATGCTGAAGAATGTCTGTGACCTCGGGGCAGGGATGAACTCTGTAAAACCTCCAGGGATGTTTATGGCCAGGTGCAGTGGCTCACGCCTGTAATTCCAAACTTTGGGAGGTCAAGGTGGTCAGATGGCTTGTCAGGAGTTCCGAGACCAGCCTGGCCAACGTGGAGAACCTCGCCTCTACTAAAAATAGATTAACTATAATCTATTTATAGTTTAGAACCTTTATTTATAGAACCTCGCCTCTACTAAAAACGATTAGTGTGGCATTCTGGCACAAACCTGTAATCCACCTACTTGGGAGACTGAGGCAGGAGAATTGCTTGAACCCAGTAGGCAGAGGTTGCAGTAAGCCGAGATCACACCATTGCACTCCAGCCTGGGTGACAGAACAAGACTCCATCTCAGAAAAAAAAAAAGCTATCCTGGGGTGTTTAAAATCTATTTTTTCCAAATATATATATATTACACATATTATATTTATATATACATATATTATTATTTTTGAGATGGATCTTGTCTTACTGCAACCTCTGCCTCCTGGGTTCAGGCAATTCTCCTGCCTCAGCCTCCTGAGTAGCTGGGATTACAGGCACGCGCCACCATGCCCAGCTAATTTTTTGTACTTTTAGTAGAGACGGGGTTTCACCATGTTGACCAGGATGGTCTCGATCTCTTGACCTCGTGATCCACCTGACTCGGCCTCCCAAAGTGCTGGGATTACAAGCTTGAGCCACCGCACCCGGCCAGAAGTGCTGATTTTTAACATAGCGGCTTGTCAGGCATAGCTTGCAGGGGCTAGGTGACCTTAAGCGAGACCTCTAACTTAGCTGTGCTCTTCGTATCCTTAGCAAGGCTTGTCCCCACTCCAGCACTGTTTGAAAGGCGGAGCTACTAAGAGGATTGGGAGGATTTTAAAAGCGGTTTGTACAGGTTCATGGCCTTAGCTATAAACACAGTACATATTGCTACTAATTGGATGACCATAAGGAGGAAGGAATAATTTAAGGGGCAGAAGGAAGTAATTGAAGTGTATAAAGGTTTATTGACAAGGATGCATCTCTGCATTACTTAAGATAATGAACAATTAGAAACAAATACCTACCTGATTAAAAATGTGTGCTACATTCTTGGGATAGAATACATTAAAATGAAAGTATGCAAGAATTCTTTTTTTTTTGAGACAGAGTTTCGCTGTTGTTACCTAGACTGGAGTGCAATGGCACGATCTCGGCTCACTGCAACCTCCACCTTCTGGGTTCAAGCAATTCTCCTGCCTCAGCCTCCAGAGTAGCTGGGACTACAGGTGCGCACCACCATGCCCAGCTAATTTTTGTATTTTTAGTAGAGACGGGGTTTCACGTTGTTGACCAGGACGGTCTTGATCTCTTGACCTTGTGATCCACCCGCCTCGGCTTCCCAAAGTGCTGGGATTATAGGGATGAGCCATCATGCCCGGCCTCAGAATTCTTATTTTTTAAAAAGTTTTCTAGAGATGGGATCTCACTGTATTGCTCACTGAAACTTCTGGGCCCAAGTGATCCTCCCACCTCAGCCACCTGAGTAGTTGGGACTACAGGTGCACCTGGCAATCATTTTTTCTTTTCCTTTTTTTTTGGTAGAGGTGGGGGTCTTGCCACGTTGCCCAGGCTGGTCTTGAACTCCTGGCTTCAAGCCATCCTCCTGCTGGGATTACAGAAGTGAACCACTGTGCTCAGTCAAGAATTTTTTTTCTTTCTTTTTTTAGAGAGACGGGGTTTCACTGTGTTATCCAGGTTGGTCTCGATTTCCTGACTTCATGCTCTACCTGCCTCGGTCTCCCAAAGTGCTGGGATTACAGGTATGAACCACCGCACCTGGCCTTTTTTTTTTTTTTTTTTTTTGAGATGGAGTCTGGCTCTGTTATCCAGGCTGGATGCAATGGCAAGATCTCGTCTTACCATAACCTCCTCCTCCCGGGTTCAAGTGATTCTCCTGCCTCAGCCTCTGGAGTAGCTGGGATTACGGGCGCCCCCATACCCGGCTAATGTATTTTTAGTAGAGATGGGGTTCCTCCATGTTGGCCAGGCTGGTCTGGAACTCCCGACCTCAGGTGATCTGCTCGCCTCGGCCTCCCACAGTGCTGGGATTACAGGTGTGAGCCACCATGCCCAGCCGTGATATTATTTTTAATTGTGTTTTTCTGTTGTCTAACTGTCCGGCACTAAATATGTGTTCACTATTATGGAGAGGTAACAAAAGTAACCCATTTTTTCTTCTACTGGAGGCGATAGGCAGCAATTCCCGGAGAGAAGAGAGTGCAGGATAGTGTACACTTAGGCCAGGCCTGCCCAGCCCTGGAACGGGCTGCCACTTAGCCTTTGGTTTCTGTAGTCTCTTGACCCAGCAGCTCAGGCCAGCTCAGCCACTTACAAGCCCAGAACTGGTTGTTTCAGTATCCGCCCTGAAAGCTGCTGCTGCTTTCCTGGAAGATAGGAGCACTGGGACGCAGGAGCTAGAAAGGGAGGTCCAAGGTCACTTGATAAACGCGAGGTATTTATAAGCCTATCTTTCGCCCATCCTGAAGATCTCCGTTTCGTTTCACTCTCTCAGCACGCACGCCCACTGGATGTAAAGGGAGCAGGAGCAGATTTCTCTCCGGTGGAGATGTGGGTGGTTTCACGGCGTGGCTCTGCCCTCCTCTCTCTCACTTGCCTCCTTCTGTAAACAATACCGCCATTATTGAGAGCTGAGCGCGTGCCAGGTGCATGCCTCCACCATGGCATCTCTCACCACAACCTGCGGGGTCTCTAGTGTACTGATGCCCACTTTACAGATGGAAAACTCAAGGCTCAGAGAGGTTAAGAAACTCCTCCTAGGTAACACAGGCGGTTAGGATTTCAACCCATGCCAGCCCAGACTCCAGCTATTGAGGCCGCCCGCTATGGCCCAGGTCCAGCAAGGCCGAGTCTCCCGAGTTCAAGGACCGCACAGTCCCATGGTGGGCAGTGGGACCCGACAGGCAGGGGTGGGGGTGGCTTCGAATACAGCGTGGCTGCAAATGGCCGGGGGCGGCGGTGGGGCTGGGGGGCACGGCCCGGCCTGCAGCAGGCGAGTCCCGGAGGCTTCCTTGGGCCAATTCCCGTAAACACGGGCGGGGCGGGGCGGGGCTTGGCTGGGGGCCAGCATTTCCGGGGACGCAGCGCCGGATCGAGGGTGTGCGCCCGAGACTCCGGGTACCTAGGGACGGCGCCGGGCCGCTGAGTCCGGGGACACTACGGGAAGAGCGGCCCCACGGGGGGCGATGCCTGTGCGCTGGCCCTGACCCACTCCATGTAGGCACGGGAGGCCCTGGGAGGTAAGAGCCCCGGCCAGGAAGGTGGCGGACCAGGCCGAAACCCGCGCAGCCGCCGCCCCCACCCTGCACCGCACCTCCTGCCCGGCCCCTCTCCCCAGAGGGCGCCACCTGAACGCTCGGATGGGCACGGGCGCCCGCGCCGGGGTAGCCTGTTGCCATGGCAGCACAGGAGGCTGGGCCCGCGTTCCCATGGCCACCGGGGGCCTCCGAGCCGCGTTCTCCACAAGTCGGTGCACCACCCCTACTCCCAAACCCGGGACCTGGCCCTGCGGGGACGTCATGTGGAATTCGGAAAAGGCCTGGGTCCCTGCGCAATGGTCCTAGGTGTGACCTCCGAGTCAGGCCCTAGGTCACGGCCTCTTCTCACTAAGCACCGAGGTTGGGGATACGGGCCTGAGAGGGAAGGAAGGTGGGGTCCTGGGAATGAAGCTGCTGTTGCGACTACTCCTAAGCCATTCTGGTCTAGCAAAGAGGTGCAGGAACACTGACTGGGTCACCTCGGAAAGGTCATCAAACCCTGCCCACATTTTCTCTCCAGTAGTATGACTAAGTGATTTGAGTTTAACACAGGAGTCTTCTAAAGGTTGAAATGCCTTAACATTTTGTGTGGGAAGCATACAAAGTTTAAAAAAATTTTTTTCACTGGGTTCTGTGGCTCACCCCTGTAATCCCAGCACTTTGGGAGGCGAGGGTGAGTGGATCACGAGGTCGGGAGTTCAAGACCAGCCGGACCAACAGGGTGAAATCAAGTCTCTGCTAAAATACAAAATTAGCCAGACATGGTGGCCGGCGCCTATAATCCCAGCTACTGGAGAGGCTGAGGCAGGAGAATCCTTGAATCTGGGAGGCAGAGGTTGTAGTGATCAGAGATGCGGCCATTCATTGCACTTCAGCCTGGGCGACAGAGCGAGACTCCTCTCAAAGCAAAACTAAAGAAAACAAAATTTCCATAATGCCTTAGAACTGGAAAAGATTTAGAAAAATCTCAGCCCCACCAGGCACGGTGGCTGGTGCCTGTAATCCCAGCACTTTGGGAGACTGAGGTGGGTGGATCACCTGAGATCAGGAGGTCAAGACCAGCCTGGCCAACATGGTGAAACCCGGTCTCTACTAAAAATACAAAAAAAATTAGCTGGGTGTGGTGGCAGTTAGCTGTAATCCCAGCTACTCAGGAGATTGAGGCAGGAGAATCGCTTGAACCTGGGGTTGCAGTGAGCCAAGGTCGCACCACTGCACTCCAGACTGGGCAACAAGCAAAAGTCCAGGTCAAAAAAAAAAAAAATCACCTTGACCCATCCCCCTTCATTTTCTTAAAGGAAACTGAAGCCAGAGAAATTAAATCACTTCCCAAGATGACAGTGAGTTTGTGGGAAGGTCAGGATTTGAACTCAGTCTCCTGACTCCCAGGCCATGGCTGTTTCTTTTGGTGATTATCCTCCCTCCCTCCCTCCCTCCCGTCCTTCCTTCCTTTGGGTGATTATTCTCCCTCCCTTCCTTTCTTCCTTCCCCCCCTCCCTCCCTTTCTTTGAGACAGAGTCTTGCTGGAGTGCAGTGGCGTGATCTTAGCTCACTGCAACCTTCACCTCCCAGGCTCCAGCGATTCTCCTGCCTCAGCCTCCCAAGTAGCTGGGACTACAGGTATATGCCACCATGCCCAGCTAATTTTTGTATTTTTAGTAGAGACAGGGATTACAGATGTGAGCCACCATGCCCAGTTAATTTTTGTATTTTCAGTAGAGACAGGTTTGGCCAGGCTGGTCCTGAACTCCTGTGCTCAGGTTGAGCTCAGAAGATACACCCACCTTGGCCTCCCAAAGTGCTGGGTTTATAGGTTTGAGCCACTGAACCTGGCCCTTTGGTAGTTAAAGTTTCTGAAATTCAGGAAAATCTGGGATATGTCTCCTTCACCTGGGGCTCAAACTGTTGGTGACAGGCAATCTAAACATGGGGATATTGGCTGGGCATGGTGGCTCACAACTGTAATCCCAGCACCTTGGGAAGTTGAGGTGGGCGGATCACTTGAGCTCAGGAGTTTGAGACCAGCCTGGTCAACATGATGAAACCCCATCTCTACTAAAAATACAAAAATTAGCCAGGCGTGGTGGTGGGCCCTGTAATTCCAGCTGTTAGGGGGACTGAGGCAGAAGAATCGCTTGAACCCAGGAGGCAAAGGTTGCAGTGAGCTGGGTGATAGAGCAAGACTCTGTCTCAAAAATAAATAAAGATGGGGGCATTGGCAACAGTTGAAGTAAAGATGGGAAATGGAGTCCTTGGGGAGGGCTGTGTCTCTCTTCCTGCTGCATAGGTCTTGTGCCTTGAGGCTCTTGCTTTTATGTAGTATCCGACTACATTGGACAGGATGGTCCACAATATGTCCATAGGAGCCGAGCATTCAGCCACTCTCCAAAACACCATCTCTTCTGAAGCCAGCAAAGCTGCTGAGCCTGGAGCTGAGCAAGAAAACCCTTTAGCTTCCCTAAAGCAGGAAAGTGGGATTCTAGTCCCGCCCCATCAGTGTGGTGCTGTTTCCTTTGAAAAGGATAACAGAAAAGTGGGGAGAAGATCCAGGCAGGAGAACTTGAATGAATCTTTTGGAAAGGATTTGAGACAATCAGCTAGAGCAGAAAACATTTGCTGGGCACCTGCTACTTCGATGTTCTGCCCTGGGGCTGGAGATGAAAAACCTAAGTCAGGCAGGCCTTGTCCCTGTATTCAAGGAGCTTGTAGAAGAGAAGGGAGGAGAGGGATGTGATGTGTAACTGAGTGTTTCATTGCAGCATATGAGGTTCTAATAGGAATCTGAGCAGGGTGCAGAGGGAACTCATAGGAGCAACTCTGGAAATTAGTTGAAAACAGCAGGATTCTAGCTTATGCCGCCTGGGAGCACTTCTAGAACTCTACCAGGTTGGCCCTGGCCACTGTCTTTGTTGGAAACAAAATAATGAGAGAGCGAAAGTATCTAAAGAAACACTGGGAGCCAGGTGCAGGGGCTCACGCCTGTACTCCCAGCACTTTGGGAGGCCGAGGTGGGTGGATTACAAGGTCAGGAATTCAAGACCAGACTGACGAACATGGTGAAACCTTGCCTCTACTAAAAATACAAAAATTAGCTGGGCGATGGCCGGGCGCGGTGGCTCACGCCTATAATCCCAGCACTTTGGGAGGCCGAGGCGGGTGGATCACAAGGTCAAGAGATCGAGACCATCCTGGTCAACAAGGTGAAACCCCATCTCTACTAAAAGTACAAAAATTAGCTGGGCATGGTGGTGCACGCCTGTAGTCCCCAGCTACTTGGGAGGCTGAGGCAGGAGAATTGCTTGAATCCAGAAGGCGCAGGTTGCAGTGAGCTGAGATCGTGCCATTGCACTCCAGTCTGGGTAACAAAAGCAAAACTCCGTCTCAAAAAAAAAAAAAATTAGCTGGGCATGGTAGTACCTACCTGTAATCCCAGCTACTTGGGAGGCTGAGGCAAGAGAATCACTTGAACCAGGGATGCAGAGGTT